CTCACCAGGTTCTACCTCCTTATCTGCTTGGGTCTGAGCCATCTGACCAATGTCGCTTGGCTCAATGCTGCGGCCTCTGCTTAATTAATTGCTGTCAAGATACCATGTGCATAGGAATACTTCGTCAAGAACAAGAAGGTGTCAGCCATCGCGGGGAAAGTTGCTCAATTCCTGGGAAACTGGACTGAGGGCATGCTGCGTGATCGTTCCTAATTTTGAAGCTTCCGCGTTGCCAATGAGGAACAATGAGCCAGGCACAAGGCCTTGTTGATGCTCAAACAGCGCTCTTGCAGAGCAGGGCAGGACGATACAATGCCGAGCACAGCTTGTCGGAAAGTTTGTTGATACACATACTCGGACCTGTATCAAGCTCGGGCATTGCTGCTCCTGCCCACTTCCAATTTGTTTGCTGTAGAGATGTGTAGAGCCGTGTTGGTGCTGCACGCTCCTAGGTGCAGCTGCCAGCAGCGGCACGTCAGTTGCAGGCACTTGTGTGTCAACGCCACACAGTTCGGCCTGTTGTGCACGCGGGGCGCATGTCGAGCCGCTGCCAATCAGTCTTGAAGCCTGCATGCAGAGCAGATCACGGTGGAGTGAGGTGCAGGGTGGGCCCCGCATTCTTGTGCGCTTATTCTTCTTCTGTGGCTCACAGCCTTCATTCGAGCTATCCCAAGCCAAGCCACCGCAAGACTGCCAGGGACTTGGACCATTGCGTGCATGCATGGCGTGGGAGCAGGCATGCCACAGCACGTAGGCACGGCACATGCAAAACACAGGTGGCCGACATGAGCGCAACGCTCGATGCCTCTTGGCGGCAGGGAGTGCCCGGGGATGCTCCAGAATCGGAAGCTGCTTCTTTCCTGCCAGGCTGATGCCAAGGCTATGGCCACACCCGCGGACTCCAAGCAGGAAGTCAAGCCGGTGAAGGCGCGCCGGCGTACCTCAAGAGAGAGTGCCGCATGTGGTTGCATGATCGCGAAAGCCCCGCACGTGCTGTCCGAAGTCAGATGATCAGATCGAGCGTTGTCCTGCGCTGTCTTGATTGGAGGTCTCGAAGCCTCGGATTGACTGCATTGACGGCTGCCGCTTCGCATTGGTCTTCCCCATCGTCATTGCGCACTTTGCGAGGTTCGCAAGGGTGGGTGGCACGGGCACAGCTGCGACAGACTTGCACAGCTCGCTTCTTCATTATTCGTGTCAGGTTCGGCACCAGCAATCTGACGGCGCTGAAGCTGCTGACGCAGGAGAACGTGCTCGTGGGAGGCTTCTTCGTCATCTCAGGATATGCCGCAGTCCTAAGAATCGCCGACAGCAGACGCTCTGTGGGAGTCGTCGTTGCGACCGAGGTGTCTGCTTACACCTCCACGAAGCTTGGCGAGCGGAAGGCAGAAGACAAGAAGCTGGCCAACCCCGAGCTCTTCTTCTGGCAGAGGGTCGACTTCTCAGCAAGTTGCATTGCAATGAGCAGCG